AATTGCCGTGCCAGTGAGAGCAGACAGCGGAGCAGCCAAGCAGCTCCGATCAGGGCAGCCTCTGAGCACAGTATGCAGAGCCAGAGAGAGACTATGGCAGTGACAGAGCATTGCTAGGGGGGGAGGGCCACCTGTGCCCCTGTTCCTGAGGCAGGGCAGGACTTCCACCTTCCCAGAGATGGCTTTCATAGAATCACAGCATGGCCTGGGTTGCACAGGAGCACAACGCTCATCAGTTCCAACCCCCTGCTGTGTGCAGGTCACCAACCAGCAGCCCAGGCTGCCCAGAGCCACATCCAGCCTGGCCTTGAATGCCTGCAGGGAGGCTTCAGGAGCACATTCTGTAGTGAGGTTCTGTATCCCACAGAGCATCCAGGCTGCCAGCATCGCAGCTCTGCGCGAGAACAAACCTCCTATCTTGGCCAGGCTTTGTTCAATTACGTATTTCCTGCTTCCTGCTTATTACCATAGACCTGGCAATGCCATTCCTTCAGAGGTGTTATCAGCAGCAGGCAAGCTGCCGTGAGCGCAGGGAGAGGGTAGCTCTGTGGCATGCACCGTGCTGCATCTCCAAAGTCTATTTTGCCTTATTTACTTCCAGAAATACAGCGACAGTTGTGTGAATTTAAAGAATGACCTCTGAGAACAAGAGTATAATTGTTGCAGTGAGCGCAATGCTAATCGTGTGTTTCTGAACAGCAAAACTGCTAACAGATTTCTGTGCCTGCATTATTCATCAGGTGCTGGTGCATACATATGAATGAAGGACTGAGTTCAAAGGATGCCAAATACTTTGTCACCTTTTCTTCATTTAGTTGCTGTAAAATCGTTAAAGCATTCTCTGGAAAAAAAAAATCTGAAACAGGACATAAGGAATAATATGTATTGTCCTCTACGATAGTATAACTGGAACATGTAAATAAGAATATTTCCTGTAACTTTCACAATGTAGGTGTAATTAAGGTGTCGATAGGAATGAGAAATTAGAGAGATTTCTCTGTTTTCTTCACCCGGTTTATTGCTGAAATCACAGGCAGGTGACCCAGCACCAGGCAGGAGCAGACTCATTAGCAGCCTCATTAGACCTCTGACATCAGAAGAAGTTCATATTCATTGTAGCAGTCCTGGCAGTGAGGCTGTGTGCCTGTTTGAGCTTTTGCTCTCTCTGCACAGTGGTCTTGCAGCTCTCTTCTATGAACTTGGTTAGAAAAGAACGGACTTAAGGAATCCTAGAATGGCTTGGATTGGAAGGGGCCTCAAGGATCATGAAGCTCCAACCCCCCTGCTGCAGGCAGGGCAGCCAACCCCCACTTTTAATACTGGATCAGGCTGCCCAAGGATGCGTTTATAAATGGCTTTGTACTCCATCATGAGTAGAACCATTCCTGCACCTTCATTCGTTTTAATTAAAAACACACGAGTTACTTGGAGGCTTTTTCTTTTGATAAGTGGCCCTGATGGGTTCTGCTGGGACAGCCAAAGCTGCCTTACGTGCTGTGACTGCTGAAGCAGCAGCTGAGGCTTTCCTCATTGGTGAGAGCTGCTGTCAGGGCTCTGTGTCCCCACTTACGGAGTTGGAGGTGCAGAGCTGTTGTCACAATGGGGACTGAATCAGAATCCTTCTGTTGGCAAGAACATGAACTGTGTGGGCTCTTTTAAATAGTGTTTTGAAAGTTTACAATGGAAATATAACTTCCCTTTATGTGTGATTCTCCCATCTCCTGGATATATTTTTTTGTGCTATAAAGTATTTCATCCTATGCAAAATACGATCATTCATTATGGGACTTAGTAAAATTAAAAAGAGGAAAAAAATGTCTTCTGCAGCAGAAGGGCTAATGCCTAACCCAGACCTAAAGAGTGATGGTGCAAAGGCAGGCCAGCCCAGGCTCACGTGCATGCAGTGCTGTGCAATGCAATGCAATGCAGAGTACCTGAGTGACTGGAAGGGCTGGAGCCAAGATCCATCCCTTCCCAGCCCCCATTTAAGGGTTGGCAGTGGAAGCGAGGGTTTCTCACTGGATCTCCCTGCATACATGAAGTCTTACAAGGGTGTGCAGATTCTTTCCTTTATTTCTGTGCTTATAGCTGTTGTATTTGAGCCAACCCTCGCTTGCTGCAGCCTGGGCCCTCGCTGCTCTGCTCTCATTGCTGTGCTTTCTGTCCTGTTACAACTCCATAGATAAAAAATGTGGTGTTGTGGTGGCAGTGGGTAGAGTGTAGAGGGGACACTACACTGAGTCAACTGCTCAGCAACTGCAGGTTTCAGATTTAAGGTGATGTTTTCTCTACGTGTCTCCTGGGCACTGAGCTATTAAATACTTGTCATCCCATAATAAGGGAACAAACGGCTTAAATAAAATAAACCATCGCTTGGCAATTAAGGTGCAATAACTCAAACCTCTAAAAGAGCTCAAATTGTAATTGCAGGATATTAATGGTGAGTAAAAGACACAGAATAAATTAAGGGCATGTCTCTCCCCAGCCCGCTTGCACTTTCCATCCAAAAGATTTATTATTAAAGAAGTTTTTCTATTTTCCATTTAGTGTTGTTCTCAAACAGACCTTGGCTTACCCAGGCTTAAGGAGATTTATTTCAAAATAAATCATTAATCTTTAGCATAGCTGACATAGCCCAGGGGAGATGAGATTAAATAAGCCTGCTTAATTATCAAAGGCCATAGAGGAAAATAGTTATGAGGGTTTTTTTCCAATTAATACATGTGTTAGTATTAGATTGCGAGTGGTATTTTGGACCAGTTATTGATTTCTCCAATACGTGAAAAGTCTAAATATTATTATATCGAAATCTAATGCTTTTACTGACGCAGACTGAAACAAACAAAAAAAAGCCTTTTTTATTCCCCTGCTGCAAAATGTTCTCTGTGGCTTCTGGAAGTTCTCGCCTGGTAGCGGTGTGTTGTGGCACTGCTTCAGAGTTAGAAACTGCACTCTCATTAGAAGAGATGCTCTGAGCAAGCAGCTCTCTGACCAGCCATCCTGTAGTAAAACATAACACCAAGTTGGAAAGTTCTCATACAGCATGTGTAAAAGCCAGTGCATTGCAAACAGGAATGTGTGTGCTCCTTTGGTGCACCTCATCCAGCTGCAGCCTAATCAGCGTTTGCTGGGCTGTCTGTGTTGCCTCATTTCCTTTCTCCCCCCACAGTGGGAGACCTCTCAGCTTCTTCCCACCTTCCCCCTCCTAGTCCCAGCACTCAGCAAGGCTGTCTCCATCCCAAGAGGCTCCTGCTGGCTGGGGTATCTTGCATGGCCATGGGATTGTTAAGGTTGGAACAGACACTAAGATCACCCAAGTCCAACCCTGATGGTGTGGCAGCATGCTGGGTTCAGTCTATTTGGTCCCAGCTTGTATAGATATTCTGTTTTAGAATAGCAAGGTGCTGCTGTGAATGTTTGTGTTGGCCTCCAGCAGTGAGGAGCTGCCCAGCCTTTGGATTCCTTGCAGTGCTGAGAGGTACCAGGAGATCTGCAGTCACTGCTGCTGCTCGTGCCCTCTGCCTCCTGCAGCTCTGCAGCACTGAGAACCTTGGAGCGAGGCCTTTGGGTTCTTCCTGGGTCCTAAACCTCATCTTGTGCCAAAACATGTTTTGAGCATTCATCTATAATTCATCTATATAATATACAGTGAGGAACAAAAAGCAAGACAGTTTGCTACCGATAAGACAGAACTGGGATTAGGCAGATCGGCTCGAACCTGCAGACAGGGCTGCACAGCCTCCTCTCTGTGCCAAGTAACAGAGCCCTTGGGTTTGTGTGGAAAATGAGACATTGCTGTAATCAGCTGAGCTTGTCAGGCATCACTGTGCATCCTTATTCCTGCAGCCCTGTGTGATTCCGTTTGGTACCTATGCAATATCTTATTTCACAATTAGAGTGTATCGGCAGCACTGATCAAGGTCAAGGAGGCAAATAAATATTTTTAAGATTGGAAGCATTTGTCTGTATGAGCAGAATTGTTGGCGTTGGTAATTTGGTCAGGAAACTGAGCAACTTTTTTGGGAAGGCATCCATCAGTTATTGCACTTAGAAGTGTTTGGGCATCGTATTAAGCCAGAAAGCAATTGCTTGGGGCAGGGGGGAGGGAAGGCAAAAGTGGATGAGCATGGAGATCGTGCTCAGCGACTGCTGTTACCTGCCCCTCCCATGGGGCTGGCTGGCTTTTGGTTCCATCAGTTCCCTGTTTCTGTCAAGATACGGTCAACGATCTTTGGAGCTCGGTAATTTCATTAAATCTTTTTCATTACGGTTATTGAATTGCTGCATTGAAATGTTAGCTTGCTTCTGCGCAAGATTGATTGGGACTGGTATTTCATTTTGCATAACACTGTACATAGCTAATAAAAGGGCACGGAATAATGAATTTTAAGGTACAATTATAACAGAATCCACAGACGATTGTTTCATTAAGCTGAATGCTGGAGAGATTTGGCCCCTTGCTAACTTTTCCCATTGTCTGTCATGGTAGAAGTAATCATCTCCAAAATGCTCTGGGTGTTTCTGGTAAATGTTTTCTTGTGGAAGGATTTCAATAATTAAGAAGAGGAGCATTTTTAAGAATTCACTAAAGCATGAAACTATTCCTTAAAAACAGTCTTAGTTCAACATTGTTAACTATGCTTATATTCCTCGTAAGAAATTATCTTCAAGAGATGGAGCAGAAAAAAGACCCTTTTTCCAGGCAGGTTTCAGTATTTCCCGGGATAAATGTGTCTGAGCAGGAAAGCTCCAAGGGCCGCTGTGCCAAGGGGCCAAGCAGACACGTGCACATCTGGAGCCCTCACAGCACACACAGCTGGCACGGGAAGGAAGTGCTGGGCAGGCGACACGGCCTGCATGCTGCCATGGCCGCCGGCTCCGTGAATAAGTCGTCGTTGGTGTCTGTTGCATGACTGTTTGCTGTCTCACTCTGTATTTGTCTTCCATGTGTGATTAACGCCCAAATGTTCTTTTTTTTTTTCCTTTTTCCCTTTTTGTAGAAATAATTGAGCCTACTACCTCTAGTCCTGTCTCAAGCCCAGGTCAGTATCCACATACATTCACAGAGTATGTTTGGGTACTTTTTCTCCAGGAAGCGGGACCGATGCATTGCCGTTTCAATAGCAGGGATTGACAACGGGCAGTTCTGTTGTGGTAGCGCCGGGCTGTCTCCTTTCTGTCTCTGTGCATCCATCGATCTGTCTTTCCTCCAGACTTTTGTTCTGTTCTTATGTTTCCCCTGTTGAGAAACCTTTTCCTCTTTGCATCCCTGCACTTCTCTCCCATTCCTTCTCTGCCCCAGGGCCGTGCAGTAGATGTGCACAGGGCAATGCAGATGTCATTATTGTGGTGTTCTCGTTGTGATAACCTGGCTGTTCTTTCTGTGATTGTGCACGTTTGTTTGAGGCTTGTATGTTTCTTGTATTGCCACTGAACGGCTCACAGGATGGCTCTAGATCACTGCTGTGAGGCCCTCTCTCGCTATAGGGTGCCAGAAGGTGTTCTCAATGAGTTGCAAATCCTGCCCTTGTGCTTGGCCAACAGCAAGAGGTCCTGACTGTGCGTGGGAGCTCCTTGTGTTCTCAGGGCTTCCATTTCCCCTGGCAGCACGTGGGCAGTGCTGCTCAGCCCAGCGCAGGGGATCAGACAGGGGCTACCCAGAGCTCCCTAACTGCTGGAAGAGTATTGCCAACCATTTCCCAAAGGTTCTGGGCTGGGTAAGTCATGAGGCTCACATGCCCTGCACTGGTTACCATTCCTCTGCATTAAACGTCTTCCCAGAATGTGACTGCAGCATCAGACCAGTCAGGGGAATGTGATTTCCCTGTGCACAATGGGGTAAGGTGTGCAGTGCTCAGGCACTGGGGAGCAGAATGGAGATGGGGGGCGAAAATTAATATCATCCTCTTCTCTCAATCACACACTCTCATAATACAGTCAGGGATTGACACAAATGTATTTGAAGTACACTGTGAAACTGAGAATGTGAAATCCTCTGAATGCAATGGGGGAGAACTGAAGAAGAAGGTAGGGCTGTGATGGGACAGAGCTACTTGAGCTGATCTGCCTTGAAAAGGCTGAGGGAAGGACTCTGAGGTCCATGTGCAGATGAAAAACATCTGTTCTCCTGAAAGACACCAGCAAGAGGTGAAAGAGAAGCTCCCAAACAGGATAAAAATTAGGGCTGAGTATTTCTCTGTGCTCCCAGAGATCAGCACGGTGTCAATGGTGGCACTGCCATTGGGCTGTGCTGCTTGCTTTATGAAATGAAAGGTTGCTGTGATATTCCCTCTACCTATTTTAAGCCTGTTAAATATCCAGATAGTGCCATCACTGTTGCTACAAAGCTCTACAGCTGCAGAGGCAAGTAAAGAGTTTCCAGTGTCAGAAAGAGAGCCTGTGTGTTATGCAGAATGGCAGAGGATGCGGTGGGGGGTGGATAGTGGCACAGAACACTGTGTGTGATGATGGCAGTGAGACAAGAGGTGTAACTTCTTAACATGAGAATCATTTAGCAGTATTTCAGATACATTCCTTCCCATATTCCATCTGGCAGAACTGGAAGATGGTATCAGTAATGCCATTATTCTGGAGTAATACTTTTCTTTGAGCTGGCTGAGAGGGCTGCAGCATGTCGGCAATGGAAGCGCCGCAGACCTTTCTTCCAGCTAGTTTTCCTTCTCATATTCCATGTAGTTATTCTGAGTAACAACTACCACTGTCAAAAATTACTTCCGAGATATGCATACGAAATCCTGTCACAGAAGTTTTGTGACATTTTCCAGCTGTTCGTAAGCCATGTGACAGCAGCCTCAAAACGTCTTTCAACAGTTGCCCATCAAAACCACTGTGTTTAAAGAGAAATCCCTGAAGATTCCCTTCTACCCAGAGAATAAGCTTCAAACTGTTCCACACGTGTGTAACAAATGCAAAACCGAGGCTGTGTTTGGGAGCCATGGTTACGCACTGTGCCTTCCACCTCTGGGACGTCGGGGAGTTTCCTTTTTCCTTCCTGAGATGCACACTGAATTAGCTGCAAAAGTTAAAAGATTGGGGCCACAGTTGTTATTGCTTTTGTCAGCCAGGAGCTGCGGTTCGTCACAGATCCCCCATCCTTTAGTGTAATTAGTTCACAGGTGGTGTCTGGAGAAGCTTTTGAAGATGCTGCTGAATTCTTAACGCCGACTAAATAAGTAACGGTGACAGGTCAGAGAGAATAATTGAGAAATCTCCTTTGATTAATGATTTCACACGTTATGAGGTGCTCTTATAAAAATTGGACTTGGGGAGAGAGGGCTGTGGGTTATTTAATATTCTCAAGAACAAAAGCTGTGTTTAAATGAGCACTCTGGGCAGGTTGGATGGCTCCTTGAACTTGGGTTACTTCTCCCTGATCTGCCTCCCCACATATCTGATGCGTTTTAATATGCCAGAAACCAAAATACTACCTGCTTTCAAGCATGCTCTGTTTTTTAATAGGTAACATGTCAGCTCTCCTATTTTTTTTCTATTCTCATGAAGTTGCAGTTCCTGCTTTAATCAATAAATGATTTGCATATGGAAGATCTATAGAGTCAGACTCTGAATCTCAGCCTTCATGGCACCATTTCTCACTGTCGGCTGTATCTTTGTGATGGAAGCACTGTGCACATTGACTAGAGAGTTCTGCATGAGGGCAGATGGCTGGAGCTGCTGTTCCTCATCTGCAGAATTTCTCCCAAAAACTCAGCAAGTACGGAAGCATCACAAGGTTCTGGGATAACAAAGAGATAACAGATCCCAGCTCGTTGCAAATTTAACTTCTATATTAGAAACAGATGCGTGCTTGTTCAAAAGCTTTTCTGCCCCATAAATAACCCCACACTGGAAGGAGGAAGGCTGAGCAGTGCCCTTCTGAGGGGGTAGATGCAGAACACCGTTCTGTAATTCCGCTTTAGGGACGGAGAAAGAAGTGTAGGATTACTGAGACTTGTAGTGAGAGGGTTGACATCAAAAAAATAAACAACCTCTATGGAAAAAAGTTCAGTACATTGATCTTATTTGCTAACTGTTGGATAGTTTCATGTTTGTAGTGTTGTCCACAGTTGCGTCACACTCCAGAACAGTGGGCAGAGGGGGAATTCCAACAGGGTTTTCTCTGCTGGATAGAATCCATGTGTGTGCTCGCCCCGTGTTGTGCAGCCCTGTGCTGCTGCAGGAGTGTGCAGCAGAGCAGTGCTCTGTTCAGCCAGGAACACTTTGCATTACACACTGGGAAATTGCTGCCTTACCAGTACTGCATTTACTGCTGTTACAAACAGGTGGACTCACATCTCAGAAATGTGCTGTGAAAGCTGCATTCTCACAACCTGTGGAGTTAGGGAAGCATTTCTGTTTAAGTAAAATACATGTTTCGGGTTACTCACAGCGTGCTCTCCATAGCATTCTCCTGTATTCTAAGTCAGCATCGTTGCAGAAGAAGCACATTACTCGCTGCTTGCTGAGTAGATGTATCATTTCATAGCAGAAGGGCTGCTTTCTATCAGCTGAGAAATAGGATTGGAAATAGGTCATTGTTAGTCCATTGATTCCTCACTTACTAAACCTGAATGTAAAATGTAAGAGTATTTCTTCTGACATTACACCTTCTGCTGCCTTCTGTGGGGGGATTTCGGCATTAAACAGCTCTCCCACAAAGCAGCAGCACCCGCAGCAGTGGTGGAGCAGCTGTGATGCTCAGTGGGGCTTCATGCAGTGGTGGGAATGCTCGAGTACTGTGGTGTGGGATACGTTGAGCCTTTTACTGAAACATCCCATTTTAACCAAGCAGCGCTCTGTGAAGTGCCAGGAGAGTCGTGCAGGGACATCTTTGAAGTGATGCCTGCAGAATGTGAAAGGGTCAGGGGGTGTGCAGAGCAAGCAGGGGCCCACAGCTTTCTCCATCCACGTTGCCCAGGAGGTGCTGGGAAGGCAGATGTGTGCACGCCTGGCGGGGGGCACACCAGGGCCACCTGTGTTCAGTGGCTCTCAGGTCTGGTCTGCGATTTCATTCTCACAGCATCACCCATCTGCTGGGCTGCACCAGCTCTGGAAAGGCACTGCAGTGCAAGTACAGGTCTCCCAGGTCGAGCTGTGACACTGCAAGGCAGTAATGCTGCTCCAGAAGAACCCGCATACACAGACACATTGTGAACAGGCAAAGAGAAGCGGGGGATTCCAGAATGTGATTCATTAGCACAAAGAGAGCAGTCTTTGTTTTTATTTATCACACAGGATATGTTTTATGAGAAGGTTTATCAGCCGGAATTGGCTGGCTACAGTAATTCACAAAGGAATAAATATGCATATATCCATCTAGATTAGATGTGTAGCCATGTGCAGAACTTCAAAATGTACATATTACTGCATATATATAGCTTCAGGGATGGTCCCAACTCTGCCCAGAATATCAAAGAGGCTCCAGCTGGCTGGGAAGGGGCTGACAGCTCTGGGCTGTTGCAGGAGGGAGGCCAGGGGGGGCAGGGGACTTGTCAGAAAGTACTCGTTTGAAAACCACGAATATGTCAGTTTTACAGAAATTCAAATGCAGGACTATTGAGTTTCAAGTGGGGAAAAAAGATCCTGGCTTCCTTCCAGCCTCATCCCAGGCTGCGCTTCTCTTCTTGTCTTCTCCCTGTCTGAAATTCTCCAAATGGAAACTCCAGTTTCTTGGCAGCTGCATTTGGAGCATCTATGCAACATGGACGTTTTGATGCAGTTGCCAGCAAGATCTCCAGTTATGCTGGATGAAAACCGGTACCCAGAGATAATACAGGATCGGCCACTTCCTTACTCTGAACCCATGATTAAAGTCATCACTGCTGCTTTATCTTTCCTTGCTGTGCACCAGCCACAAGACCCACTCTACCAAACTGATCTTCGAATAGTTGGGTCCTTCTCTAAACTTTCCAGGTGAAATCTTAAGCAGCCAATCAGGCATCCTAAGAAAGATGATATGATGCGATTTTTCTTCCAATAGCATCTTCTGTGTTAAAGAAAAGAGAAGAAAAAATCACAGGGAAAA